ATCCAACAGGGGAAGCTGGATACATAGCAGACTCATAGAATGGCAAATGTCCTAAACAGCACTCTGGCCTCAGAATCAGCCCTTAGGCCATTCGGATCCGGCTGAAGAGCCCATGAGAGTATTTTAGGCATGGAAAGCCAAGACACTCAGGCAAAAAAAAAAAAAAAAACAACCACCTAAATGAAAGATCTCCACGAGTGAGATCCCAGTGGAAAGAATGGGTCATCAAAGAAGGAGGTACCTTTCTCTGAAGGGAGGAGAGAACTTCCACTTTGACTACGATCTTGTCTAAATATGATCAGAGTTGGTGAACTCAAAAGGCCTCCATAGCCTTGGCAACTCATGACTGGAGCCTAGGGAGATTACTGATGCCATAAACAAGAGTGTCAAATTGTTAAGTCAACGACAGGAGTCACTGTGCACTTACTCCTCATGTAGGATCTCGGCCCTTAATGTGCTGTACATTGTGACTTAATGCTATAACTAGTACTGAAACAGTATTTTTCACTTTGTGTTTCTATGTGGGTGCAAACTGTTGAAATCTTTACTTAATATATACTAAACTGATCTCCTGTATATAAGAGAAATGAAAATGAATCTCGATGTGAATGGAAGGGGAGAAGGAGCGAGAAAGGGGAGGGTTGCGGGTGGGACAGAAGTTATGGGGGGGGGGAGCCATTGTAATCCATAAGCTGTACTTTGGAAATTTATATTTACTAAATAAAAGTTAAAACAAAAACAAAAACAGTGAGCACTCCCTTGCCCCATCCTAACCCCGACCAAATCTGACCTTGTCTCATTGTCCCACCTTGCCCACTGCACTCCACCCACACCAGTATTCTTCCTGTTGCTCCCTCGAAAATACTAAGGTCAATCTCTCCCCAAGGCTTTTGTACCTTTATCTGGGACACTTTTCTTTCTGCTCATCATGTGACTGTCTCCTCCTTATTCTCTGGTCTGTGACCAAGTTCCACCTCTTTAATAAAGCCTTTCTTGATTCTAATATCTAAACTAGACCTCCCTATCCCAATCAATCCCAACGGTCGCAGATTAAATTCACCATAGTAAATATCACCGGCTACTCATATAATGACATTTTTTTTTAATTGAAAGGCAGAGTTAGAGAGAGAGAGAGAAGAAAGAGAGAAGTTTCTAATCACTGGCTTACTCCCCAAATGGCTGCAATGGCCCTGGGAAAGGCCAAGCCAAAGCCAGGAGCCAGGAGCTCCCTCTGGGTCTCCCACACAGGTGCAGGGGCCCAAGCACTTGGGTTGTTCTCCACCTCTTTCTCAGGTGAATTAGCAAGGAGCTAGATCAGAAGTGGAGCATCCAGAACTTGAAATGGTGCCCACTTGGGATGCCAGCATTGCAGGCAATGGCTCAACCCACTGTGCTAGTACAATGGCCCCCATCATGTAATCATTTTTTTCTACTTAACTGTTTAGCTAATCCCCATCACTACCACTCAAATTACCTCTTTAAGATCAGTATCTATGCCTGTTAGTACTGAATCTCCATGGCTTAATGCTTGGCACATAGAATTAGTCCACAAATATTTCTTAAGTGACCAAATGTTAAATAAATGTATGGGTGCAACAGATTAGTCTCCCCAAAATTCACCTTATAAAGATAATCTTGAGAAAACATTTCTGGAAAAATGTATTACCCATAAAGTAAGGCAATGACACAGTATATAAGTGAAGATTGTAAGACTTGGACTTCAGGTTCAAATTCAAACTTAACCACTTACTGACTCCATGACCTTGGGCAAGATTGAACAGATTTCTCATCTGTGGAAAAGAAGACAATAGTAACTGCTTCACAGGTTTGTTGGGAGGTTTAAAAGAGATAACTGGCCAAAGCCTTTGGCATAGTATCTGATCCTTATCAAATGACACTAATACTTGCCTGTGAAAACTGGGGAGACAGTGCTTGAAATACCATTTTTCATATAAAATGGGATGATTCATTATCAGGAATGCCAATCAGTCCTCTTCATTAACTGTTTATGGCGCAGGTGGCATTGTGACTCAGTGGGTTAAGCCGCCACCTGTGACACTGGCATCCTGTCAGAATACCGATTCAATTCCTGGCTGCTCTGCTTCTCCTCTGGCTTTCCCCTGATACATTTGGGAAGGCAGCGGAGGATGGCCCATGTGCTTGGGCCCCTGACACTCTTGTGACAGACCTGGATGGAGTTCCAGGCTCCTGGATTCAGACTGGCCCAGCGCTGGCTGATGAAACCTTTTGGGTTATGAACCAATAAATGGAAGATATTTCTCTCTCTCTCTCTCTCTCCTCCCCCCCCCATCTCCCTCCCTCCCTCCCTCTCTGTGTCTCTCCTCTTCCTCTCTGTCAATATGCCTTTCAAATACATAAAAATTTTAAAAATTAAAAAAAAACTATTTATGGGGGGGCCAGCACTGTGGCATAGTGGGTTAAAGCCCTGCCCTACAGCGCCGGCATCCTATATGGGTGCTGGTTTGAGTCCTGGCTGCTCCACTTCTGATCCAGCTCCCTGCTAATGTACCTGAGAAGGCTGCATAGGATGGCCCAAGTCCTCGGGTCCCTGCAACCATGTGGGAGACCCAGAGGAAGTTCCTTGCTCCTGGCTTCAGATCAGCTCAGCTCCAGCATTGTGGCCATTTGGGGAGTGAACCAGAGGATGAAGACCTCTCTCTCTGCCTCTCTGTAACTCTTTCAAATAAATAAAAATACATCTTCTTTAAAAAAAAAAAAAACATTCTCTTACATGCCAGTCTTTGTGCTAGGCACTTGCCAAACAAACATCAGTCAGACTTGGCTCCCATCCCCCAGGACTCACAGGGTATTGCCACGGCCAGTAGAGCTCACCGTGTACAGCCCTTGGCATCATTTAACCTACAAACTGCACAGTCCTGTGCTACTCCCTCTCCCGCCTGCTGGCGGGACTGAGAACATGCCCAAACAGGCTGAGGACCCACACTGGGCCACAGGACGCCCTTCTCTGGAGCAATCTACCTGGTCTTCTCTGAGGAATCTTGACATTCCACCGCCAAATTTTGACTCACAGTATTGCTCAACGTTGACTGCCAGCTTCTGAAATCGTCTATATTTAAGGCATCTTTCTACACATAGCCTCACCCCGCCCTACTCCTTTTCACTAGGCAAACTCAGACGGCTTCAGGAAACTGAGACTGGACAGCTCAACTTCCAGGAAGCCATCCTCCATCCCCGCATTGGCACTCCCATAGCAGGCAACATCACCCCGCCACAGCCCTTCTCTGTGGGGCCACAAGTTCCTTGACAGCAAATGGTGCCATCGATTCACAGGATACCTACCACCAGGCACATATTAGGTGCTCCATAAAATTGCAATAGGTCAATGAGATTTCTGTTGTTGTGTTTGAGTGGTTTTGGGGAATTGGACAGGGCAATGAGACAGGGGAAATATGGTCTAAGACCAATTTGGGGGAAAAAATATAACCACCTTTGTTTGGATGTTTTTCCAAAAGATTGAAATAAGAGGATGAATAAGGGGTTAGGACGTGGGGGTGAGGTTACTCATGTGCAGGCCAGGCTGACACTTTATTCACGTTCCTATAAGCTAGTTTCACACTGTGGATCAAGATCCAAGTGCGGGGCTGAAGGGAGGCCCAAAGTTGTGGCATCGTTACCACCTGCAGAGCCAACATCCCATATGGGTGCTGGTTAGTGTCCTGGCTGCTCGATTTCCAAGTTAGTTCCTGCTAATGGCCTAGAAAAGGCAGCAGAAGATGGTCCAAGTGCTTGAGCCCCTGCTATCCACGTGGGAGAGCTGGAAGCAGCTCCTGGCTTCTGGCTTTGACCTGGCCCAGCCCTGGCTGTTGCAGCCATCTGGAGAGTGAACCAGAGGGAAGATATCTCTGTCTCTCCTTCTCTGTGTAGCTCTTTCAGATAAATAAATAAATCTTTAAAAATATCCATAGGCTACAATCATCATTTTTCAAAAAAAAATAAGCATCATATATTAGAGCAGCAGTTCAGCTCCAGGCTACTCCATTTCCAATCCATCTTCCTGCTGTTGTGCCTGGGAAAGCTGCAGAAGATGGTCCAAGAACTCAGGCCATTATCATCCATGTAGCAGACCAGAGCGGAATTCTGGGCTCCTGGCTTTAGCCTGAACCAGCCCCAGCCTTTGAGGCCATTTGAAGAGTAAAGAACAGATAGAAGATCTCTCTCCTCTCTCACTCTCTCTCTCACTCTGCCTGTCAAATAAATAAGTCTTTTTAAGAAATAAGCAGAATAGAGTAGAACAGAATAGAAAACATCTGTGAGCATCATTACAGTGAAGATAAATATTATTTCACAAAACATGCGTGATGCGTGTGTGTGTAAATCATGATGTAAAACTTATTTCTTTCCTTTTTCTATATTTATACATTTATTTGAAGGCATGGTCATGGAGAAGGAGAGACAGAGAGAGATCTTCTATCTGCTTGTTCACTCCCCATGGGCCCACAATGGCCAGGAAGGAGCCAAGCAGAAGCCAGAGCTTCATTTAGGTGAATCCCTTGTAGGGGAAGGGGCCCCAGGTACTTGGCCACCCTCTGCTACTTTCCTCAACACACTAGCAGGGAGCTTGCCCTGGAAGTGCAGCAGCGGAGACTCAAACCAGGGCTCATATGGAGATGCTGGCATTGCAGGCAGTGGCTTAACCCACTGAGCCACAATGCCGGCTCCAATGCCTGTTTCTTACTGTGAGTTGTGGTCAACACCAGATGGGAAGCCACTGCTTAGCGTGGGCCTCTCAACTGGAGCAGTGCAGCTAGAGAGCCCACAGAGTGTCCCAGGAAGAAAACTCAGGGCGAGACGAGAAAGGAGTCCAGTCCCTCCACTACAGGGCTCCTGAGAAGGCATGAAGGCCTTGAGGGCTGAGCCAGCGTTCGGAACAGACCAGGGAGGGTGGGAGGGAGGAGCTGTTGCTGGAGACCACAGCCCCCGGGCTCTTGGCAGCCAGTCCACCAGCATCTTCTCCTTACCTTGCAGCGTGCCCACCAGCCCAGTACTGACACCGGAAATGATGTCACTAAGCAGCCATTCCTTTACTCGGTATTTGGGGAGCCACTCGAGGATGGGCAGGAGAGCCTTCAGCACACCAAAGGCTCTCTTTCTTGAACAGCTGTCAAAAAAGCAAGAAAACCAGGCTTCCAGTTCAATCTTGGTCATAGCCAACTGCAGGTCCCAAAAGTTACGAACTTCAGTTCTGAAGAACCTCAGAACTGCTGAGGTTCATTTAGAGAAAGAGTAAGAATCTCACGGAAAATAGAAACACTGATGTGCTTACTATGCTTCTGCCAAGAATTGCATCTATCCTATTAAATGCACTCACTGTACTAGAAAACACAGGATTAGCTGTCCCCTCCCTCCCCGCTGCTCTCACCTTTTTAATCCCCTGAGAAATTATCCTGACACAAGAGCCCCTTTTCTGTCCAGCCAGAGCTGATCAATGCAGAGGCTCTGCCTGGAGATTACTTTCAGACTTCTAACTCTAACCCAAGCGCCTTCTTCTTTTCTTAAAAAACCAAACCAAAACAACAACAAAAACACTCTGTATATGTTGGCAATACAAGCTTGGAGCCAATGTTTTACAAACATCTGAATACGATGAATATATACCATGCTACTAATGTTTAAATTCAACAACTGGGGCTGGCACTGTGGCATAGCGGGTAAAGCTGCCACCTGCAGTGCCAGCATCCCATATGGGTGCCAGTTTGAGACCTGGCTGCTCCACTTCCAATCCAGCTCTCTGCTATAGTCTGGGAAAGCAGTAGAAGATGGCACAACTCCTTGGGTCCCCGCACCTGCATGGGAGACCTGAAAGAGGCTCCTGGCTCCTAGCTTTAGATCAGTGCAGCTCTGGCCAGTGAGGCCAATTGGGGAGTGAACCAGCGGATGGAAGACCTCTCTGTCTCTACCTCTCTCTCTGTGTAACTCTGATTTTCAAATAAATAAAATAAATCTTTAAAAATAAATAAATTCAACAACCTATAGATATAAGAAAAAATCAACAATAGGCAGATATTATCCAGCTCCTGATCCCAACAAATTGTCCTTGAAAGCTCTGGTACTGATAAAATGATTACAAATGTTAATGATATTCCATTTTTGATATTAAAGAATTTTTAGGTGGATAACAGATTGTGGTCACCATTTTTCCAGAATTCCTTAGAGATAACAGTGGGATCTGCTTTTCCATGTGTTCCACGCCCATGAATTCAACCAACTGAAGGTTGAAAATAAAAACATCGCCCCTGTACTGAGCATGCGCAGATTTTTCCTTGTCAGGATCCCCTAAACAATACTGCTTAACAACTGTTTACAGATCATTTGCATTGTATTAGGAGTTGAAGGTCATCTATAAAGTATGTGGGAGGATATGTGTAGGTTACAAGCAAATATTGCTCCATTTTGGATTTTGGTGTCGCTTGGGGACCCGGCACCAATTCTGCTCGGAGAGTGGATGCGGCATCACTGCACAGACGTAACAGAAACACCACGTGGAATTCCCGCCTAAGTAATACTGGAGGGGCAAGTGGGTAGGAAGATGAACTAAGATCAGGCTGGTGGGATCATGTCACTCCATGTGTACTTTTGTTAACAAAGTTCCATAATAAAGGGATTTCAAAAACAAACTACAGGGGCCAGAGCTGTGGCATAGTGGGCTAAGCCTCTACCTCCCTGCCCCCATCAACCCCATATGGGTGCTGGTTCCTGTCCCAGCTGCTACTCTGCTATGGCCTGGGAAAGCAGTAGAAGATGACCCAAGTCCTTGGGCCCCCTGTGGGAGACACTGAAGAAGCTCCTGGCTCCTGGCTTCGGATCGGTGCAGTTCCGGCCAATAATGGGGCCATTTGGGGAAGTGAACCAGTGGATGGAAGACCTTTGTCTCTCCCTCTCTCTTTCAAATAAATAGATAAAATTGAAAAACAAACAAAACACTACATCTGGCAATTGGGTGACTGTTCCTCATGTCAGTGACCTCTAGTGCTGGGTGGCACATTTGGGTTTGGCACGTGCTGGCTCTCCTAGAGGTCCTACTGCCTCCTGGGTGAGGTGCGATACAGGCGCTCCTGTATCCTGGCTTCCATCCTGGTGTCTATCTGCGTGGCCTCCAGGCTACGTCAGCTTGAAGGGCTTAAAAGACTCCTGGCCAGGTGATGGATTTGCCCCTCATCTCTTTCAATGGGGCGCCTTTCTCCCCTCGGCCCTGGCCTCAGCCCAAGAAGCCGATAAGGACCCTCCACATCCCACGCTACCCTCCAGGTTCCTCAAAATGGAAAAGAGGGAAATATGGGGTTCTGGGAGCCCATCCTCCCCCTAAAGGTGTGTTTCCCAGGCCAGGTTGGAGCAACGGGCCCGGGAGCGAAGCAGCCACCTTGGGACCCGGAAAGGTGGCGTTGCGGACTGGAGACCCCGAGCCTCGCCTCGCAGAAAAGCTGCGGGCGCCCTGGCGCTCCCGGCCCCGCGCCCCGACGCCTGCTACCTGCAGCTCTTGGCCAGACTCTCTCGCAGAGTCTTGCGCTCCTGCAGGCGCCGCTCGTGCTTCTGCTGGAAGGCGAGTTCGCTGTAGACCGGGCGCGACACCACGTAGCTGCAGTTGTACTCGGGAAGCTGCTGCGGCGGCTCCGACCTGTTGCCCGGCGCGGCCATGACCTGCAAACCCCAGGAAGATTTTAAGGAGTTGCGGCGAACGAGGTCAATCCGAGGCGGAGAGCGAGGGGCAGAGAGCGAGCAGCGGCCGCAGCCGACCCGCGCGAGCCTGCGGCGCGCCCTGCGGGCTCGGGCGCTCGCGACGCGGCGTCCCAAGGCGCGCACAGCCAGCCGACTGCGGGGCACCTGGGGTTCTTCGGGTCCTGTGGGCTGCACCTGCAACTCGGGTCTCCACCGCTCGGATGGGAGTGCGCCTCCGCTCTGGGAGCTTCCGGAGCAAGACTCAGGACCCTCGGCCTGCAGCCAGGGCGCTGTCCGCGTCCTGAAATCTCCCCAAACGCGGGCTGGGGAGGTGGCCCTGGGCGTGTGCCGGGAGGGGAGAGGAACGAGGGGAGCGTCCCTGCCTCCAGGCGCCCGGCCTGAGCGCAGCTCCAGGCATGCACCGGGGAGAGGCACTGATGCTGAGGTCGGGCGTGGGACCCTCAGGGGGTGCTTCTTGGGTCCCGGGCTGCCTTCGCTGAGGGCAAATTCCGGGGGCGAGACACAACTCTCCTGGGCCAGGACCCTGGGCAGGTGGAGCAGCTCTCCTGCGTCCCCAAATTCCTCTTAGCGCTCACAGTCCCCTGCCCGCCCTCTCCATGCCCGAGATCACCGCCTGCCCTGGAGATCCGCCAGGACGGGGCGGACCAGGCTGCACCTCGGCAGCCGAACTCACCTGCGTGTGCTCGCGCCTCGCCCGGAATGACCCAGGACAGCCGTCTCGCCGTCTTTATAGCGCTCGCAAAAGGCAGTGAGACGTTTATTTATAGAGCAACAGACAGTTTGGTCCCCAGGAGGGTCACACAGACATTGGTCTTTCCCCTGCCGATCCTACCCGGAAAGATCCTGCCCCTCCACGCCCTGTCCCTCGCCCCAGCCGGGAAGGATAAGGATCTTGCTGGCCGTGTCGCAGGGGCCACTGGGCCACTCACTCACTTCCCCGACCGCTACAGCGGGCTGCAAGGTCAGAGCAGACAAGCCCTGTGTGGTTCCTTAGCAGCGAAGGGCTGACCTTGACTCCCAGGCAGTGTGAATCCAGGAGCTGCACAAGCTGACACACAGGTGCGCTCCTACCAAACTGGGAGGACAGGGCTGGGGCCAGTTTTGTAGAACAATAAAGTTTTGAATTTCTAGAAATCATCCCCACCACCGCCCAAATACCCACCGAATAGAACTTGTTCTTTTCTTTGCAAAGCGTTTTGATTTCTGACTGTTATACACCAATGTGTTTGTCGGTACGACGTGATAGTTCAATGCATGTCTCATTGTGCAATAATCAAATTAGAGTCATTAACATATCCATCACCTCAAACGTTTATCATTTCTTTGGGGTGAGAACATCAAAAATCCTCTCCTGGCTATTCTGAAATATACAATAGATCATTGTTAACTAGAGTCAGGCTACCGTGCAACAGAACACCAGGACCTGTTCCTTCTAATTGTAGCATTGTATCTACTGCCTAACTTCTTATTTCCCCTAGAGTCTTTGAGGGGTACCCAGTGAATGAGTGATGGTCATGGAGACTTGCTAATTCACTCACAGATGTTAGATATCCTGTGTGTGTGTGTGTGTGTGTGTGTGTCTGTGTGTCTGTGATATTTCACAATCAAAAACAAGTATTTGGCTGGCCTCCCCCCCCCTTTTTTTTACATGACTGATTCTTTCATTCTTTCTTTCTTCTCATTCATCTGGTCAATGATGGAGGGAATACAGCGGACCAGAAAGAAATCAAGACTAACAGACAGTTTTGTCTTCTGTTGCGATGAATCTTGCCAGTAAACTGGAACATTCCCACTTGGTTATCAGTTAATACAGAAGATGCTCCAGAATACAGACTTTCTGGACATCAACCTTCAGTTATCCACCCACTTGGAAAACACAGACTGTGCTCATGATGCAAGCTTGAGGAAACAGACATCCTCTAAGGGGAACCCTGGTTTCAGCACGGGGTGAGTTTGAATTCAGCATGCTGTAAGCTTGTTCATTTTTTGGAAGGAATGAATGAGTCAACAGCTTTCTCAATAGATCTTCAAAGGCTTATGACCAAAAGAACCACTGAAGAAGGAAGCTAAAAACAATTGCCTGGGCCGGCACTGTGGCAAAATAGGCTAAGCCTCTGCCTGCAGTGCCAGGATCCCACATGGGCACCGGTTCGATTCCCAGCTGCTCCACTTCTGATTCAGCTCTCTGCTATGGCCTAGGAAAGCAGTGGAAGATGGCCCAAGTGCTTGGGCCCCTGCACCTGTGTGGGAGTTGTGGAAAAAGTTCCTGGCTCCTGGCTTCTGATAGGCTGTTGTGGCCATTTGGGGAATGAACCAGTGGACGGAAGACCTCTCTCTCTGTCTGTAACTCTGCATCTCAAATAAATAAATAAATCTTAAAAAAAAAATTGTTATCTACTCTTAGAGCAGAGGGAAGGACTTTCTCCTAAGGGCTGTTTTGCCCCCACGCAGGGCCATGTCATGGGACATTTTAGGCCAGGGAGGCTGCCAAACATTCTACAATGGTGTATGTCCTTCTAAGGTTTTTTTCACTTTGTTTTAATTTTTATTTATTTATTTTAATGCTATTTGAAAGGCAGAGGGTCACACAGCAGGAAGCAGAGATAGAAAAAGGGAAATCTTCTTGGTTCACTTAGCAAATGTCCATGACAGCCAAATCTGGGCCCACTGACAGCTGGAGTCCCAGAACTCTATCTAGATCTTGCATGTGGGTGGCGGGGACCCAAGTACTTGAGCCATCATCTTCTACCTCCAGGTGTGCACATTAACCGGAAGCTGGATCAGAGGATCAGCAGGGACTTGAACTCAAACACTCAAATATGGGATGACAAGCACCTTAACCACTGTGCCAAATGCTTACCCCCCCTTCTAAGGTTTTGAGTGTAATTCAGTTGCACGCTTATTAATAAATTGCTACACATACTGGACATACACACACACACACACACACACACATATATATATATATGTATATTCCAGAGACTTCTAAAAGCCTGTGGAAAATGTAATTAAAAAGTGGGTTTATTGGGAGCAAAAATTTTTGAAGTTAAGCATATGAGAAATCTTCAATAAGTTGATGAAAATATGTACTATGAAAAAACTATGCAAGGAGTTCAAGTTGCTCTGCACCAAAATAAAGTAATCTTTTAATTTCATTTTCCACAAGTTTCTCATATACATAGAAGGGAGTCTTCAAAAAAATTATGGGAAATGAGTATCAAGAAAAAACTGTTTTCCATGAATTATCCTTTGTGTGTGTGTGTGTGTGTGTGCATGTTTCTTATTAACATCACTTTGTTGTTGAATGTATAACTCAACTCCACTGAAACACAGGAAAGCACTTGATTTAAACCAGATTCTCTATGTACCCACACCTTACACCCTCACACAAATCTTCAAGGTCCTGCTAAAAAGCCATCTCTTCCATGAACTCTCCTTGCTACTCTCAGTAGCAACTAATCCAGCCCCTTTTCTGAATTATCTTGGTACCTTATCTGATCTGAATTTAAGACACATCTCGCTATCTGCTTCAGTATCCTAATCTCGTTACAAACAAGTCTTACATCTCTCACTAAGCAAAAGTTCTTGAGAGTAAGCACTGTCTCCTCCCAACCATTACTTGGCGTTTTCTAAATAAACTTATCTATAGCCCAAACACACTGTTTTTTAACAACCAAGAATCACGTTGCAGATTCCTCTACAATTGTGGATATCTTTGCAGGTGAATACATGTGGATCTTTCTTAATATTGTCAAAAATTTCTGAAGATCAACTCATACATGTAATTCTACGTTTACTCACTTAGATGGCATTTAATTTGTTAACGAATTCACTTAGAGACATTCTGTGTGAATACAAATGTAACTCATATCCCTCTTTTATAGGAATTTCTGCTCCCTGTTGCTAGCTATTTTGAACACATTTTTTCAGACTTATCTTGCCACCCTCTGTGAACCACATTGCATTAGAATTTGATGGCTAAAATAATAACAATAATAATTATTATTTGATGGCTGGGTGAGTGTTTTGACACAATGGGTTAAGCTGCTCGTTGAGACATGCACATCCTACATCAGGGTTCTGGTTCGAATCCTGACCACTCCTCTTCTGATTCAGCTTCTTGTTTATGCTCGTCAAAAGGCAGTAGATGATGGCCCAAGTGCTTGGGTCCCTGCCACGCAGGTGAGAGACCCCGATGATGGAGATGTAGGTCTCTGCATCTGGTCTGGCCCAATCTTGGTTGTTCTGGACATTTGAGGAATGAACCACAGCAGAGGGAGAAGCTCTCTGTCCTTTGTCCTTTGAAATAAATAAACAAGTAAGTTGAAAATGACAAAAAGAACTTGATGGCTTGGTGGTGGCAGTGGTTCCAAGAGACTGATGGAGTGGGCGGAAGCAGCACCAAGACAGATGAGGAAAGAGACTATTGACTAGCACTAGGAGTCAAAGATGTAATATCCCTTAGAAAATAGACATGAGTCTTTGAAATGCATCTCTTGATGTAAGAATCCGGCTCAGTAATGACACCATAATAAGTACTGTGTGTATCTGGATGAAGACAAGGCTGGATTCTGTTAAATGTGCTTTGCACAGCAAGGATAAATGGTGGCTGGTCAGAACACCAGCTCCACGGCAGGATTCTGTACAAGCCTAGAGCCCTGCTTTCTGCAGAGGTAGAAGACCAAGTTTCTGAATTTGGCTATCTTTTAAAAACAGAGACAAGTAGGAGGTGACAACAGCTTGCTCTTCCCACCCAGTTTACTTGTTATATGGAACACCTCAGATTACTCACATGGGCTATACAAATCAAGCTTCACCTGCTTCACATAGAGGTGGGTGGTTCTTATTTATCAGAATTTAATCAGATTCAGGAATTCTTTCCAAAAACATAGATGTGTCACTTCAAAATAAATGTCAGACAATAATGCAGTTTCTTTACAGAACTTATTTAGTAGTCAATGCTGATCGTTTTTTAAAATTCTAGTTTGTGCTACCTCTTGATGTACCTCTTTTGTTTTTACACTCAATTCTCTTGGGTTTGTCAAATTTATCACTTTTATTTATTTATTTGGAAGGCAGAGTTACAGAGAGACAGAGGAGAAGCAGAGAGAGAGGTCTTCCATCTTCTGGTTCATTCCCCAAACAGCTGGAGCTGAGCTGATCCAAAGTCAGTAGCCGGGAGCTTCTCCCGGGTCTCCCACAAGTGTGCAGGGGCCCAAGTGCTTGGGTCATCTTCCACTGCTTTCCCAGGCCATAGCAGAGAGCTGGATTGGAAGTAGAGCAGCTGGGACTCAAACCAGTGCCCATATGGGATGCTGGCACTGAAGGTGGCTGCTTTACCCACCATGCCACAGTGCCGGCCCCAGTTAATGCTGATTTAAGAGGCATTTTCTTATTTATCATTAGGCATTGGGAATGTAAAAGAAACTTCCTTGTTAAAGTTATGCAGTCACCTGTTGGTTGGCTCATTCATTCATTAATTCATTCAAGGATTTATGATTAAGAATTTATTTGGGGGGGGGGGGGGCGGCACCCATGTGGGAGATTCCTGCATCTGCTTGGGAGACCTAGAAGAAGCTCCTGGCTCCTGGCTTCAGATCAGCACAACTCCAGCCATTGCAGCCATTTGGGTGTGAACCAGTGGATAGAAGACCTTTCTCTTTCTCTCTGCCTCTACCTCTCTGTAACTCTGCGTTTCAAATAAATAAATAAATCTTTACAAGAAAAAAGAATTTATTTGATGGCTGGCATTGTAACATAGAGGGTTAAGCTACCACCTGTGAATCCAGCATTCCATGTGGGTGCTGGATTATATATAATCTTCTCTCTGTAGATCTGCTTTTTGAATAAATAAATAAATCATTTTAAAAAAAGAATTTATGTGTGCTGGTCATAGAAACAATAGTGAATAAAAGCATGGGGACAGTGTTTGTCCTAGTGGTTAAGCTGCTGGAGTGGAGTGCCTGGGTTCAAGTCCCAGCTCTGCTCCCAATTCCAGCTTCCTGCTAATGTGCACTTTGGAGGCAGCAAGTGATGGTTCAAGTAGTTAGGTGCTTGGCACCCACTTGGGAGACCTTCACTGAGAGAGAG